TTTGAATGACCTACATAAGTAATTTTATAACAAAATTATTTTCAGGTATCTAAATCTTCAGTTTAGCTAAATTTTTAGAGACTACATCAGCAAGACTATTTTCTTCATACACGTGAACCTTTAATCCAGAATTGACTTATGAACATTTTGTTCCATGAATAAGTATTTTTGCGATCGCCGTTAATTAGATCTTTTCCAATGAATTGGCAAATTCGTGATGATTTGCACTTCTTTTAGCGATTTTAACGTTTCCATCTAATTTTATTAAATGCCACGTGCGATATGATACGTGATGACTATTGTTTCACTCGCTTGAGATTGCTATATCAAGCTGTACGAATGCAGAAACTTTGCGTGGCGGTTTTTTCCAGAACGAATGGAGAAGCGACTCGTCGCGATATCAAATTTGGTATTAAATCCGACACGGTGTTTCTTTCCAAAGAAAGGATGAAAAGAGGAAGAAGGGCAGGTGAAAAAACACACACACACACACACACATGGTTTTCTATTTCTCGCGTGAGCCACCCGGCGAATCAGTCGCGTGCCACTCGCGGGCGCACTCGCGTGTTCCGTCCAAGCGTGAACTTCTAATACCCCTTCATCCTCACCTTGACTCTCCCGCATTAGCAGGTCGCCAATAATACTTCACGCACGAAATCTTTCCATTTTCTTCCATCATGCGAGCGAGAGTCACGGGCACGGACACGAGCCCTGGAGCACACGATCGGATACGCCGGTATGCAGATTGCGGAATCTCGGGCGATCGCGCTCCCGAGTTCAAGAAACTGACTAGCGTTCCTCGAGTTCGGCTTCGGTGATCGTTCATCGGAAATCATTGTACACGTTAAATTAATGGGTATAGATAAGGTACATACTTACCTAATCAGAACACTTTAGATAAATTTAATGCAATTTTATATATCAATCGTGCATTAATTTAGATCAGCGTTTAAATTCTTTTTTTTTTTTTAATTTGTGACACATTAAATAACGAATCTTTAGCGAAATACATTATTAGATGTTTTAGTGCTGAACATGGGGGTTTGGTCAGGTATCGTCAACACGACTTTCTTTCTATTTCTTATTCCATTGTTTCAAAAATGACTTTATTGCAATTTAAAAACTTTATATAATTAAAAAAATACTTTTTATTCTTCATGCATTACTCGCTTTTTACTTATTTCTAAAGTTCTTTTACTTTTTTTTTCTAACTTTTTCACACTTGAAGGCTTTGCAGATGGATTAAAAAATTTTAATCTAGAGAGTATACCTCGGAAATTTTGAAGATATATATTATGTTTCGAATAATTTTTATAATCAATGTGAACATTCATTTTGTGAAGAAATGGGTTACATTTCTTCACAAAATGAATGTTAGTTCGTGTTTTCACAAATACATCGCTATTTAGATTTAGAAGTTGAACGCGCGTTGAATTTGCATTTGCGTATCTATCAATAAGATGTATCGTATCGTTCATCAAAATATTATTTGTATTTTTATCGTGACGTGAAACACAGCCCGAACGGAGCGATAGTCATAATCGTGAAGACTCCGCCGGTCGATCGAGAAAACTCGATTACTTCCCCAAACAATACAATTATAGTAGTAACGACGAACGAGTCTCGCGGGATGATGCCTTCCGCGGAATGGCTATGTCGGCCATTTCGTAGGGATGGGAAAAGGGGAAGCACACAAGAGAAAATCCTATTATAGTTCCGTGTCCGTACGCGGAGTGGTACAGTGTGGGGTGAAACGAGAGGGTCGTGAGCCCGTCGCTCACCCCCGCTGGCGCACATCCGTATTGACGCAACGCAGGAGCCCACCCTGTGGATTAACCAATCGAAACGCAGCATCCGCGCATGCGATCCCTCGGAAACGCGTGCCATTTTGTATGCCACGCTATCGCGGGGTGGAATCAGGGTGCCTGTTTCCGCGACCGGAAAATGAAACCGAGAGTTTGACACAGTGACATATTTAATCATAAGGGTGGCACGAAGGGTTGTATATTTAATCGAGGTTCGTGTGAAAGAGTAACGAGATGAAGAACGAATTTCTTTTCATTAAATTTCATTAAATTTCTCGATTCCAAGGATATTTAGCAATGCAATTAAACGTTGCATTATTTTGCGTGAAATAGTTTCCTATAAATAGTATAAAATTTTACACTCTAGTGTAGATTAATTAGAAGATAAGTGTACTTACTTAAATGCTTTCTTGACATTTAAGAATTCTTCATAAGAAAAGATAAGTCAGCCTAGTAAGTGCAATGTTGCTAGAAATAAAAATTTCAATTTTATTGACATTAATAAATTGAGAAAATTTTATTGCATCTTGAACTGACAATATTTTCACATTGCATAATATCTTACCAATAATCTAAAGTAAGATTCGTAAATATGCTTTATCCAAATAGATCGATTCAAAATTTATTTATGTAAATCTATCTATGAAAATCTACCTGCCTGAAAAAATATACCTAAAAATTCCGACACTGTGATTTAAACCGCACATTACTATGATAATTACTTAACGTTTCTCTTCCGAGAAGCACAACCCTTATTTTACTCTAGCAATAATGGGATATTACGAAGTCCTTGATCGTTCCTTGTAAGATTGTCGGTAGTTATGGATTAAGAAGCCGCGAGATACCTGCAATTATTGCAACTTTACGAGCACACATCGCGTCGGCGCGTGAAGAGAATCTGAAGAGTCATAAGAGAGTTACACACCAATATCCTTTATGTATCAAAAGCACGAAACATGAGAAATAGCAAAGTAGAGAATCTACTTTAAACAGAAATAATTGTTTCAATTTTATAAAACATTCTATAATAATAAAACCATCAATTATTCTATCAAGAGTGAAAAAATTATTTTAAAATACAAATTTTACCACATAGGTATTATACTATATTTGAAAATAATACAAAATAAATATTCACAACGATTTAAAATCTGTATCAAAAATTATTTCAAAAAAGACATGTGTGTGTGTTTTAAAAATAATTATAAAATTAAATCAGAAAATTTTGATTTTCTGTACAAAATTGTATTGTGAAATATAAATATTGATTTTATTGAACTGTTTTATATGTTTATTTATTTTTATATAAAAAGTATAAATTTTTGATTTCAATCAGTTAATCAAACTGAAATCAAATTAATTTAGCATCGTAGGAAACTGTTATTTACCTGCACGTATGTCATCATAATCGCGTGTTGAATTAAAATGGAATTGTTGAAATAAAAAATTCGTTGAAAATTGAATTAGCAAGTCTGCGTATAGCTGAAACAGTGCATCTTCTTTCTTCGCTCTGGCCGGTTTCGGCGTTGCTCGCCATATTTCAGAACAATAAGTTTAAGCGGTCTGGCGTGCCTGGCACCGCTACCGCGAAATAAAACAAAACAATACACATTTAGCTCGCAGAAACGCGGAGAGCGGACGAGGCTTTAAATGGTTTCCTACCCCGTTTCCGAGCGGCGTAGGGCGGCGGCGGGCCGAGGACTGCTAAAACTGGGACGGATATTTTCGGCTTCGATGCGCCGCATTCGGCTCCGTTGAGCCGAGGGCTCGTTTGGTATTTGCCGGTATCGGGACCGCCGATAAATGGGAAAACTTTCCCGGGGCGTTTTCAACGCGTTCCGCAGCGAGAAACAACGCTCGCCGCCCTCCACTTTCCGAAAGGCAACGCACCCTTCCGTTTTCGTGCCGCCGCACTATTCTCGCGTGGCGGCTCGAAATTGCCTCTGTATTTCGGAAAGCTTAATCGTGTGTGCCACGTCGGATTACGTGATTTACTTGAATTATTCTTATCGGTACACCGGTAGCCTTTGTTCTCAAGATTCATTCACTCCGAAGTTTTGCTTTTTACAGGAAATTCTGCTATCATCATGCTACAAACATTATTGAACATAATAAATTATCAAACGGATCTTTTGCGCAATTTTGTTTTCTTAAATGCAACTTGTACTTTACTATTATTTGATAATAATTTCAAAATTTATAATTTATCAATTTAATAACGCAAAGTAAATGTACGGATATTTTTTAATTATTAGATAAGTTTTTTGTTATATTTTTTAATTAACATTCTTATCTATTTTTGTTATGTTTATTAACGATAAGATTTAACGTATTCATTGTATCAATCGATTCTCAATTTCGATATCTATTGGTTGAATGTTTATGAAGGTATGTTTCCCTCTCGTGAGAAAGCTACGAGAATAACAGGTATTTTGGGCTTCGAGGTGAACACTCGAGTTGTGCAAGCTCGTTTGGTATTTGCTGGTATCGAGTCGGCAGACAAATGAGAAAACTTTCTGGAACGTTTCCGACCGATGCCGCCGCAAAACGCTAACCTTCGGTTTCGAAAAGGCAACGTACCCTTTCGTTCTCGTGCCGCCGCTCTATTCGCGCGGGGTGTACTCCCGCGTACGTCTAACAACGTCTAAACCTGTATTTTGCCGTGCCCCTAACTTATCCGTGCCACGAATTAGCCTCTTGAGCTTCGACCCGATGCAAACGGAGCAGTCTCTGCTCGATTATGTTCAATTCTGAACGATTTTACATGTTTTAGTTGATTGACGATCGAGAGACGATTCAGTTTCGCGATTATAAATTATATTTATTATTAAAGGTAGGCTTCCACTACAATACCTTACTGATGAGTCCAGTAGTGGAAGCCGGGACGAAACGCCAAACATTACGTGATATTCTTCGCAATATAGAATATTAGAATATATTATCAGATTTAGATTGACTCTTATTCGCCATTTTCAACGTATTAATTATTGTTTATAAAAAGAGTCCTTTAATTCTTCAATTATTTATATTTATTATATTAACATAATATTTTTATAAAATGAAAAAGTGTGAGTTTATTAAAATTTTATTCCAAATTAATTAATCCGTGTATGTCTGTAGTGTATGTGTATGTACTTAGTTGCTGCTACATACATTCATGTGTAATTTAATTGACGGATCGATTTTCTGTTCCAGGCACTGAACGGGTTCCTGCTAATATTGACTTGCGACGGAGAAGTGTTTTTCGCTACTCATAGCATAGAGAGTTATCTTGGCTTCCATCAGGTATGATTGTTAAGGCAACCGTTGTATTAATAGAGTAAAGAGAAAGAGAGATACAAAATATGGAACATTAAAATCGTTGGATTTATATTTAGAATAGTAGGCGCGGTATTACTTGTATATTATTATATATAAATATACACATACACGTAACATTATAATATTACATATGTATAATATATAAAACAAGCGGAACAAACCATGGGATAATAATATATAACAACTCTTTTTACATAATGCTATTTTCGAAATCGAATATCTAATTTTATCAAGCCTTGACGCATAAATCTCTGCCGACAAATCCGAATGATGTTTCAAAATCACTTACGTGTATTTTAAAAGTAAAATCGTCGACGTATTTATAGATCGATCAGATGCTTGCGCATTTTTCTCCCCAAGATTCCCCCTTACTGCAAGGTAATTCTAGAGACAGTGTACCCTCGTTGTTAGTTTATCTTCAGTCAACGTGTGTCCACACCCAACACGCGGCAGTCACGCCAACTCTGTCAAGTCAAGTTCGCCATACGTGTCACGTTTGCCCGAGGCATCATCCCTTCCGCGAGACAATGTATCCATCCACCAGGACTGATGGCCGACATACATTTTTCAGTAGTAACAGTGGGTCATCGACGCAAACGAGTAACACGCTCACGATATCGTTCGGCTCAGCTTAGACAAATCTGTTTGATGCTCAAATAGAAAAATCTTAATTTACTAATTCTTGTAGAAGAATTAATGTGTAAATTTTACCTTTCATAATTTACGATTGTTAAATTTGTAAATGTTTATTTAGAATCATTTTCGAGTACTTAAGAAATGAAGCATGATTACTGGAGAACATTAATATTAAAAACGTTGTGAATGAATGAAATAAATGATAAAAGAATAAATCAGGTTATAGTAAGCCGTAGGAATTTTGAACTTGCTTTTGAAATTTTATTTTTAGATCATGGATCTTTTATAATTGATTGTCAGAAACAAAAAATCACAATAAAAATTTTTACAAAATGAAAATTAAGATAAAAAAAAATTTTAATGAAGCAATATTTGCATTTGATGGAGTACTTGTATAAAATATATACTGTGAAAACTTTTTTTTAATATTATATTTCAGAATAGAGTAAAATAATATTTATTTTAATTCGACGGCTGTTAAGTAACTCGTTTTCTGATTAGATATACACTGAAAAAAATTATATTTTGAATTGTAAACAGAGATTTATTTTATAAAAATTATTGATTTGAATTGACCATCATTTCTTTATTAGATAAATATTTATTTACTGTAAATATAATGTTTGCTTAGTAATATTCAAAGAAAATGTATCAAGATTTAGAAAATCTTTTTTCAATATAATTCATCTTGAAATATATGGTTATTTATTGATTAAACAAAGGAAGTTGTCGATATATTTTACAAATCTATTTTATCGATTGCGAATATCGTTTTATTATATAATATATATAAAAAAACATTCATATTTTAATACAGTTACATGAATTTTCTTTATATGTATGTATATTATTTCTCGTTTCTAACGTCACAATTTAAGATGATTAAAGTGAGTATGCACGATCCTTAATATGGATCTTCAATATGGCGATTCAGCGCGATCTTTTTGCGATTCGATGTTGTTGAGACAGCGATGCTCCAGGTCTCGATTATCGCGATTTCAATTATCCTAATTCATTGCGAGCGGAATCCGAAGCCGGCCTTATATAGTACATGTCCATAGTCGCGGATTTGCATACGCGAATATCCCGAATAAACGTGAACTGTCGAATAAGAAACTGTTATCAGGAGCGGGACGTCAGATCCGGATTCCGATGGTCCTTAATTAATTATGACACCGGATAATCGTGCCGGGCAGAGCCTCGTTAAGGCCGACGTAACTCCGGCAATTTTATTCGGCCGCGACAGCGACGATCGGCCGAGGATCAGGAGAGGATCGTCTCCGCCTGATTCCCTCGGCGCGGCGGCGTGGCGATGCATCCGCGCGGTGTGGGAACCACGGAACATCCGATCCCGATTCGCCGTGCAGACCGAATCTAATTGCGCGGCCACGATCCACACTGTTGCACATTCGATTGCTACCGGCGTTCCCGCGCACGATCATTTGAATACTTCGGCCGGACCTCGCTCGAACACCGAGGTTTCCCCTTAATGATAAAGCGGCTGTGTGTAACCACAGCCCCGGCGCGGACTATTGGTTCCACGCGAGAGAATTGTGTACACAGTGTAGAAACCGATTTTACGCTATATTTCGCCGTTGCATCGGCGCGCTCTCAACGTCCATTGTTCCCAACTCGATGACGGCGTGAAGTGTGTCGATGGATTCCTTGTTTCTTGAATTCGCCAAATCCTCGTTGTCGAAACGCGAAATTATTCGCAGAAATACTCCACGCTTCTAGAAGCAGAATTTTCGTGCAGAAATAATGAGGGGTAAGAGTGATAAATAATTGACAAATTCAACCCGAGAGTAGTCATTTTTTTATGTAAACGATCATCTAAGGTGTTTTTACACTCCAATTAAAATTAACAATATACTGTATATTATTAATTGTTTCCCGTTTTTTTTTATGTTTGAGAATTTAATTTATGTATATACACAAATTTACTAAATTTCTTAAAAAAAGTAAATATTTAAAAACCAAACGGGTATAGATATATCATAAACGGAATAAGTAGTTTATTATACAATGTTCTAAAAAGTAGAGCTGTTAATTAAACGCTATTTTATTACGGTTTTCGACGGAATTACATACTTAGAAGTTTGTAAAGAATAGTTATTAAAAAAGTAGGAAGTTTTTAAAACGGTTAAACAACATCCATTTGACAATCCACATTTTTTTGCCGCTTGAATACGCATATAAAAATATCCTAGGTGATTATTCCCGGTTAAATATAAATTATTGTCGATTATAAGTACGATGTATTGTTTGAAAATTAATTTAGATTCAACGTTATAAATACGCTGGAAGGATTGTAGTTTATAATTCGGCTTCTGCGTGGACTCTACGAACGGAAGACGCATGAGATACTTGTGGCATGGCGTATATATTACATTCTTCGTATTTCGAGAAAAATGACCGACAATCCGATCGCGTTATCGTCGAGCGTCCACACGAGAGCGCATTAAAGAATCATCCATCCATCTATACGGGGGATAGGTACTCGACTACCCGCGGCATAATACCGTCACTCGAGCCCCTTCGGTACACACCGAGAGGGATCCGGGCACGCACGCGAGCGCAATGTGCATACATTGTAAAAAAAATGACGGATGATGATTTCCCGAGCCGATGACTCTCTATACGGGGCGCACGCGAACGCGTTGAGTATGAATTGCAGAAAATAGCGGACGATGATTTTCTGACTCGATGACCGCATATCCGAGACAACAAAAAAGAACCAAGAAGCGGTTTGTTATATGAGCGTTCTAGATTTCCTCCTAAATACCCCTCGCGCGTATGTATGCACGTATTCTATGCGTTCAAAATCACCGACGGAAATCATCCTACCCCGGTTTCGCTGGGAATGACGGAAGTCAAATCGACGTTTTGCAGAAATCCACGCGAATATGATTGTGGGAAGAAAAAAATACTCTAATTCATAGAAACACAGTTTCTATAGAATTTTAAGATCCGGTGTTTGAATTACGAATTTAATTGATAACTGCCTTAAGGAAAATTTATATTGATAGAAATTGATGTGTCTCACAAATATATTTGACATTATAATATCAGGTTATTATCATTTTGTGATATATTGATAACAGCTGATTTTTATAAAATTAACTTGATGGTATATACATATGTATATTAAAATGACAATTGTGTAAGAGAGAGTTTATCTCTTATTTTAAAAACCAATCCTAAATAAGTTACCTTTATATAACTTTATATATTCAAAACTGACATATTTTTACTTGGCAATGGAAAAGTGAGGACGAATCTTACGACACATTTATTATTTTATTTTTACAAAATCGCAATGGTTGTCAATCTTATAATTTATTGATTATTCACGCGCACTCATGATTTACGTTTCTTACTTTGTGACGCAGATTTTCCAATAAGTATGGTAGTATCTTATAACGTTGTTCGTAAATGGATCTTACGGAACACACGTTGGAAATTATATTGAAAGGCCCTTCATCCGTATTCTTTAACAAGCTCGAATTATTACGCTAACTTTCGTGCACGAGTATCCATTGAGATGTAACAATGCACGCAACGGTATCGTATATATGTACGATGTATTGAGAAAAACAAGGACGATGACTTCGCACGAAGCTGCGTTCGAGGAAAATGGTCGTCTCGTTACACGATTTTTCTTCTTTTTTTTTTTCTTTCTTTTTATCTTCGATTGTAGTACGATTGCGTCTTTAATCACGGTTTGTAACGTTATGTTTCACATTAATTGATTTTCATAGTTATTGTATGTATAGTTGAATCTTGCCTTTTATCTTTCGTGGCAGGAATTACTTAACGCGATAAGGAATGACATTACAATTCTTTTTGTATGATTAATAGCAACATATACCTGTCTTTCTTTGCAATATATATTTTATTTACCAATATATTTTTTATTTCTTTCTAAAATTATTTCTTCCAAACATTTGCATCGCACGTATAAATATTAATTCCTATTACATATATATTTTGTTCTATAATCCTGCCCTCGTTAAATCTGAGAAAGATATTTCCTAATCATTATTCACGATTCTTAAAACGCACCTCATCCCGTTACGGAGATTATTCATCTGCATCCGTAATGAGAATAATCTACCTCGTGCAGGTGCTCGTTGAAACGTAGAAACGCGAGCAAATGCACGCGAACTTAACAGCGCACTCAGATGTGCTATAAGGAAGCATTGAGTAACGTTATGAAAAGCACCCCTCGAACGCTACATGCTATGTGATCATCTTTATACGATAGTCTGAAAATACGAAAATAAATCTGTATTTCTTTAGTGCTATCCTTACACAATACATCCCTC